CTGAAAAACGTGTGTGCAAGATGTGTATTATGCAAGTTACCTACACTCAATAAATTCCTTGAAAAGTAGATACTTGGGTGACAGTCTTTTAAATATACTTTCGAAGTGAACTGTAAAGCAGAAAGTATGGGGTTGGTTCTAGAAAACCATAATTCCTCCTATTTGTGAGAATAGTCTTAGTTCGAAATTTCAAAACTTCCTACAATGTTTTTCAATAGATGCCAACCAATCCCATTTGATTTTGCTGAAAAGTTATCAAACCCTCCCTCTCTACTAATATAATCTTACAGTTTACTGCACAAAATCCTTGGAAGCTGAAGTATTCTTTTATTTTCGCTTTACTACAGTAAATAAACCTTTGGCAAGTGCCATCATTCCTTCTTGTGTATGGCGTGGATGATGTTAATACGTTTCTGTTACATTAGAACTTCGTTGTTTTTTTCTATTTTCTGTTCAACGTTTCGAGAAAACTTTTTGTCCATAACTTATTTCCCAGTATGTAATAAAAGATTATTCAGGAAAGATTGCATAAAATATCTTTCCGTTATTAAAAAGGTGCAGTTTGATTTCTTTTAGATCTGGAATAAATACTTCAGTTAGAGAAAGTAAGCAACGGTTATTCAATCTGTTTGATAGGGTTATTTATCGGTAAACTGGGAATGAACACTTTGCGCTCATAAAGCTAACAGTCGGTTGAATAAATTTTCGAGAAAATACTTACATTCCAATCACTTACCTTGAAGTCTTTTGTTTACAGCAATGGGATATTTACTGATAAAGAAGTTATATTGTATCGGTCAACCATTCTATACAAAATATCCTTTAGGTAATCTAATGTGTCTTTTACAATATGAACGATTATCTTCGCTAAATAACACCCGTTTATTTGCCATAAAACAAGCCAAATTATGAAATGAAGAAATAACGATAGAGATCACTAGTGCTAGTCATTTGATAGGAAGCTTGGGACCTTAGTTTCAAGCTTGTGGGAAATAATTACACAAGGTGTATCAGAAATTATAAAAAAAATTGTTGTTTCTTTAGTGACTGACACCAGTGCCGAAACCATGGGATTAACCACCAAAGTATTTTGGCAAACAGTGAATCAAAAGACATTTGAAGGAACAAAGAATGTTTTTTTCCATGGCTTCTGTTTCGTTAATATAGAAGTAAAATTTGGTTACTTAGGTAGATTTTAATTCCACTTTAGTGTGTTTATCAGATGTGTTACAGCGAAACAGTACTAACATGCCGGACAACATTTTGAATATAATTTATTGTCTATATTCATATCAGGTGATATGAATATGATTAGTCATCATTCGAATATTGCAAGTCAGTGGTAACAAATCAGTAAACTAAAGTGTTCAACCAGGTCACTGAGTTCGGTGAACAATTATGTCATCAATATTCCGGTATCTCATTATGTATAAGCTTTTCAACCTACCATTCCGCTACTTGATATTCAAATTTTCTCTGAGGTTTAGTTAGTTTCGTCTCTTATTCAATCACTATAGATGAACATCGTTTCCTGTAAAAGTTCAGATTGTCAATTTAGTATTACAGCAATACAACAAAAATGTATTCTAGGAAATGACTGTTTAGGTTAAATCTGAAAGATGCTAGAAATCTTATTTCTGAATGCTTTACACAATTTGAGTAGGATATGGTGATAATCAGAGGCAAAAATTATGCTGAAGCTGATGTTCAAAACCAATTCCTAGCTAGCTTAGATGTATACTTATAGTATTCAAAAAGCATAAGTCGTTTACTTTCTTTCTTTTCACTCAGATGGAAGTCATTGTTAGATGACGATATGGTATTCAAATTCACCTTGTATACCTTAAAGAAAACAGTGAAAATGAAGCTAAGGCATTTAGATAAGATTCATCCATTTACCAAACTTTTTAAATTGAATCCTTTTCAGTTAGTTTAACTCATGACAATATTATATAAAAAAAAATTCAGGTTTTGAGCTGTGCACTGACTTTGAATAGTAGTTTACTTCATTTGTTTTTTATTTGAAAAAGTGCTTTATATTTATAACAAGGACCTACTTTACCAAAGTAGGTAGTTGTTATGGTGTCAGTTTTTGAATAGCGGTGAGCCAAGCCTTATTATCTATTTTCTAAGGATAGAAGAACCAAGGCATCTCTAAAAGCTTCGTGATTTTAAATGAATTAATATAGCGGAAATAAGCTAGAATGCAAGACTATTTCTACAAGGGTATACTTCCCTTGAAATATAAGTTTCTTGAAAATAAAGCTAAAGAGTTACGCTACAAAGCATCATGTTTTTCCTTTATCTAAAACGCTTACGATTATGTGTAGCTTTGTGCTTCATTAATTTCTTTTTAAAATAAAATCTTTTAACTGAAAGAACAAAGTCTACTCACTCAAATCTATTTAATTAATAAAATTATGTCATTCCATTTTGTAAGATGGACTGCTTAATTTCTAAGAACAATGAAAATGATCTATCATCCGTACCAGACATCAGCATGTTGAGAATCGGTTGGATATACTTGTCGTCAACTTTATATGTAATTGAATAGGGAATCCTTGAACTGCCTAACTGACTTTAAAGTTAGTATTTTTTTTTACCATTTTCTCGCAGTTTAAGTTTCAAACGCTTAGTGATAGCATACACAAGCCACTTCTTTCATTTAGTATTCTTTACCGGAAAGTAACAGGAATGGAGTTGTGTGGGGGTAACATTACTGTTTGAAATATTTTTTATTACTAACTGGAAACTGAGTACCACTAAAAGGCACCAGGACTCAACTAACTGCTGGACAACACTTACTGTCGAATTACTATAGGAAAAGGAAATTACCCCTTCATATTTTATAGTAAGCACTTTATACTTGAATCCATCTGTTTATTTATATTAAACGACGTGTATCTTTGAACTTCAGGGGATTTAAAAGATTACTAACCACTACAACTTTAATAAATCTCAAAATAAGTCATCAGTGAGAATTGGCCAACTGTGGTGAAAATTGCCTTTAGTGAATTTAATTGATAACTAAGTGTAGAAATGTCAGTTACAGAGTTACTTTTGTCTTCGATTTAGAGAATATATTTAACCAATGTATTTCAAAAATTTGTTATTTTGCCTGTTACTCTATTTTTCTGCTTCAGTGAATGGTCAGCAGTTTAAACATCAATCACAATTTTTTTTATAAAACTCAGTCATTCATACAAAGTTGGATCATATACACTATTTAATTGAGTCAACTCACTTTCAATGCATTTAAATCAGCACGATTTCATTAGTAGTAACTGCTCTCCACAAAAATCAGCTATTTGTAAACTACGGTGACAATAGGTGAAACTTAATTAACTATGAAATTAAACCGACATCTGTATTATCCAGAACTCATAACTTCATGTGCAATACTATACAACAGTAAAAATAACAATACATGGTGTAACAACAAACGTAACCGATGTCATCTTAACTGATTTGTGCAGAAAATGGACACGAATGGTGGATTTTCCAAATATCTGTTAGTTACCTGGAGATATCCACTCTTTCTGCTTTTTTAAATATCTGAAATATTACACTTTAGAAAATTATTTATTCTATATTCAAGGTAGTATTCATCATGGACTGACATCAGTTGGAGAATCACCAAAAACCTGGGAGCACTCAGCAGTCTATTTGTCCTAGTACGAGACTACTCATTAGTACGCCACACAACCTCACGATGGGTCGAACTCTGGGTCATCAGGTTTCACGGTAAACGCTTTAGCATTCAGTAAGTAGATTAAAGTTCAGTGATTCACAGTTCCCTACTTCTGTCAATTCGTGACACATCGAGACTATCCATCAAGGTCTTCATCTGACATTCACTTCACTTCTGACTGTTACCCCACAGGTCACTATCTCAAATAAAAATTTCCATAAACCTCAAACTACATTACTCTGTTTAGAGGTTTGTGGGGATTTATTGATTGAAGTTGATATTCATCATGAACTGAAATCAGTTGGTGAACCATTGGATACCGACCCAGCGGCTCGATGGTAACGTACTGGCTACAGGATCTGAAGGTCCTGAGTTCGACCCCCAGTGGGGTCATGGATGTGTGTAGCTAGGCAGTCGCATACTAGGACTAAACAGTTGTCCCGCGCACTCAAGTTCCAAGTGTAAATCCAACTGACGTCAGTTCATGATGAATAACGACCTAAAATTAATACATTATATTTCTTAAAGTCTTCTTGACACGGCTGTTTTAACACACTGCAGTTAATATTTCCTTCCTCGAATTTTACCTACAAACACATTAAACTTAAAAAAAGATTAGTATCCTTTTTGAAACCATTCCGAGGCTCGTCAACACTGAAAACTTGCTGTAGAATAAAAATGTTTTCAAAATTTTTTATTGAAAGGGTGTGTTCAAATTAGCATTTGGTGATTGCTGCTTGGTCAGTGTTCTCAGTCCACCCTAACCCTAACCCTTACACGTGTTTCCTACTAATAGGGTTCTTACTATTTTGCTTGTATTTTATAACAGGTTTGTAATTGTTAGGATTTTCTTTTTCAAACTACTCTAGTATATTCAACTGCTTTGTTTTTGTCCGAAAGTGGTTATTTAATAAAATGTTTTCAACTCATAACTTTTTTTCCCTTTCTTCATTGTTGGATGATCTTAATACAGAAGTAACCACAATATTTTTCTACTCTTTGGACTACTGCTCTCAATCGACCATTATGCACAAAAATGATTCTTATAAACCCTACTGGAGTCGACAATTTTGAATGGTATAACCCATGAGTACCTAAGGAATGACTGATTTCTACTTTCCAGTGGATAACTCAAAGTTGATGAAATGTAACTGTGCCTAGAAATTCTCGAGAAATAACTGCTGGTGTTTCGAAGTATCCCCACAAAGGGATTAAGACTTCATTATACATGAGTATAACAATAGGTGAAGTTCATATTTTTCTAATTTTATTTCTGAAGGAGAAAACCAATCAACAACAGTTATGGATATTAATAATCAGTTTGTTGATATACAATTAACACAACCAACATTGGTAAACTACTGTTGTTGCTAATAATTGGAATACAGAAATATAAGTAATAATTAGGAATTTGTTTAAATTCATGTGCTGAACTTGAAAATTGATCAATTAAAAGTCATTTTCTACTTTTTGTTTTTTTCATTTTGATTGTGTGTGCTTAAAATATGATTAGTAGTATATAAATTATGTTCTTGTTTATAATAATCAAGTTTTTCTTCTCGCCATTGATAAATTAGATCTAAAACAGGCCGTGTAAATGTACAATTGACAGTAATATAAATAGCTTGCAAACTGTTCAATAGTGTGAATACATGCCATAGGGCGATAGATGCTTGTATCAAAGCTAAAAAAGCAATAATCCATACTAGGGCATGAGTAATTGTGAACTTCGTTGTGATCCAAAATCTTGCACTAATATTTGTTGTACTCCATAGCAAAGAAAAGTTGTCATCATCATCATCATCACCCCAGGAACAGCAGTACTGGAAGCATCACCTTCAGCTTTGTGGTGTTTATATGCGCGAAGTTTAGTGACGTATATAATGCAAACAAACTGTATCAGTAACAGTGTGAAAAGTAATGGGAAAAATAAGTAAAAATGTCCATAATTTGGAATAAGATTGCATGAAATGTCAGCGAACTCTTCATGCTCCACAGTGATATAGTTATCTGACTTGAACAAAGTTACGTTAAGTATGATCTCGCACAGTGGTAGGCCAATTACTGTAATATATCCTACTACATAATTACATTGCTTGGTGCAACTCAGGGATACGTTGAATCGATTGCAAAATAAATAGTCTGTACAGCAACTTTTGCCTTTCTTTGCATCCCATAAGGAATACGTTATCCCTACTGAGGACTTCAGATTCATCGTCATTGTTGTTAGAATACAATAGTCAGCCAAATATCCAAAGATATAATGAGTGAAATAACTCTTAGGCAATGAACAGGTGATCAGTGACATTAAGTAAGAAGCTGTGTAGAAAAGACAACAGGTCATAATGCATACCCCATAAAGGTTTCGTATACGTCTGAAGCATAGAATAATTAGGATGTGTAGTAGAGTGGAGAATAACGCCAGCGTATAGCATATTTTTGTAATTGTATACGTTTCCGAATCAATTCGACTGTCATTCGTCATAGGGGATGTGAGCAGTAATTGACTTTTATTGCAGGCATAGTTTTTACCATCAAATGTTATCGTTGTATAATTACTAGTCATGCATAAGGAATTAACTGTTTCAGAGTTTACATATGCTGACATTTTTGTAATTTATGTGCAAATAAACCATTCTAGATCAGACAACATGCTGTTCGTATATAGCTGCAACGATTTATATTGGAGTTTAATGTCTTTTCTCGAGTAAGAAATGATTACTTTTTAATGGTAAGTTGTTTGCTAGCAATTGTAATCAATGAGACTGCAAGATAGCCAATCAAAGAGGTAGGGGAAGAAAAGCAGTAAATGATACTTTTATGTGATTGGCTCTTCAGTTGGTCAGATGTCGTTTAGCCTTCAGAATATACTATATTTGTATTAACGAAAGAAGACAAAAATTGTTTCGATCAGTTACTTCTACAGTTAATTATTACATTTTATCTGTTTTAAATCTCAATTTAGAATTTCTAAATTTGATCTAGGATACCACGGAAGAGAATATGAATTTAGCAAATTTTTTAAATCACCATTGGTAACTTTTTTGTATTTAATTAGTTTTCAAATAGTTTACCTAAGGTGTGCGAACAAATATTATCCTATATACTTAAGAATAGCATACATTCATTCAGTCATTTTCACGATAGAATCCATTATGGTTACATCTCCTGTATTAAGTACTACTGTTGACCTGTTGCGAAGAAATCTAGTGGTCGATATTTCTTCACAAACTAGAACTGAGCACCTCACCACTGGTCTCTACTTTCGATGGCTCTTCAACTGACTTTGCTTTGTCGTGAGCTCTATCGGATTATTTATTTTCATTATTTCTTGACGGGTAGCTAAGGGTGAATACGATTAATTCTTAGTTTTAGGAATGAGAAACGGTTTACCACTTTAATAATCAACTCACGGGGTAATGATTGGGGCTAAAAGGAAAGCCTGACTTTCATAAGGATTTAAACCAGTGACCCCAAATACCGGCTTGGCATACTGCAAACTGATTTAAGAAAAGCAGATAAATACAAGGCTTTTTTCATTAGTCACCAAGAATTTTACCAACAGCGTCAGTTTGAACTTCTTTAGTTTCGAGAAATGCACAGGAATCAAAGGAAATGATTCCGTGTAAATGTACTTAAAGTGAGGACTATATATATATATATCCACAATTAATGGTGGAGAGCTACATCTCATGATGTTTGAGAGATACATACCATATTATTCGCGCTTTTACTAAGACTGAAAGTCGGAAAACTCAGTATGAAAGTTGGATTTAGTAGATAATGATACTCAGGCTTCCGTGTTGCGGTTTGAAAGCTAACACGGACTTATCACTCCAATCTCTTCAATAAAAGAAACTGAAAATCTCAATTTTTGATGAGTAACTTACCACCATTTGCTTTTTAAGGATGTCAAGATGAAGTGGCATTTTAATTCTATAAGTCAATTTGGTGTCTGAAGAAAGAGTTGAGTACTGACTCCTTTATTCTTGGAAGTGGAGAATTTATGCTACTTCTCTTAGCACTGTAGGTCTTTGTTATTTGTGTGAACCTCAAGGACTGTTTTTGTGCATTTGCTCCGGCGAAGGAAAAGTACACGAATTTTTACCTTATCTTTTACAGAATAAACGAAGTATCTATTGCTGTATTAATCACGATAAAGAGTGAAACATCATGAAGAGATACATATCTATAGGAATGGTGACTGGTATTGAAGCGAAAACCAACTTCAAGGCTTCAAGAACAACATCCTGGCACCAACTTGACTGAGAAATGACATACATCTGTCAGACAAGTTTTAATTTCACCTCAACCACTGCTTTCATTGAAATCAATTGTCTGTGGATATCTATTCGTTATCACATCAGTTGTACAACCAGGACTTGTTGACCCAAAAACAATCAAGAAGTTCATGTTTTCTTTCCAGTTATGTTCACGATCCCTGAAATCACAGAACAGTTTACTAACCAAAGTTATCACAAACAGTTTAATCAAAAAATCGTAATATCATTGATTGGGGAATAAAGCGTGGGTAAACCGTAAAATGGAGAGGGATGACTGGTCATGCTTCAATGAAGTTGGCAGATTTATCAAAGATTAACATAAAGCCTTTTGATCAATTAATATACCCTGATTGTTTATTCCACTGTATCTAAACTATCAGAGGACAGAAGGATGCTAGAACAGATCGATTACAAAGAAAGGTTTATTCTGTCGGTTGAAAGTTTACTTTCTGAGTGATAATTTACTAAACTGTTAAAAATGTAAGTATATAGCCAACAACCTTAAAACTACCAACTTGAACGTTTAGACAGAGCACAAATATGATTGTGGGGAGCTGCTTAGCACTGTAGTTCACCTTATTTGGCTGTGAATGAGGAAACGCTTTCTCCTTTTATAGGTTCAAATACTGGTCATGAAATATGCCTTATTTTCAGTGTCATAATTAGCTAGTTATCATAAACACGCATATTTATCCTATCAAATATCTCAGCCTCACAACCTTTCTCATAATTATGTCTTTAAAAGTATACGGAGTTAGTATTCAAGAATAAACACTCCCTAAGAAATTGAAAAAAATTCACTCCAGACCTACAATAAGAAAATATACCGCGGCATGAGGAACCATAATCTAGTTACATAGAAATAAAATCCAGTAAAACTGTTATATAGTTGGATATCCATAGTAGAGTAATTCCGTTTACATAATGCAGTGTTGAATTTCAACATCTAATTCTGTTTTAATTATCTTTAATTGTTGAAAACAGGTGAGCTGCCTTGAATTTCATACCTAAACATTTTGCCTTTACCAACAAACCTCCACTGTTAACTTGATGGTGATACCGTACAAGTAAAAATTAATCTATGCTGTTTTCTACTAATCACTTGTAAACAGATATTTTCATAAGAATAAAGTTTTCAAGGTGGCACTCATCATGGACTGATATCATTAACCTCAAAATACATTACTGTATAATGCATATTAGTGATATGCTTCGAGAAGCATGTCCCAAAGTTCTAATAAGAAGTTGTTACCTGTGAGGTCAACCAGTTGGAACTGAAGTGGATGTCAACTGAAGACCTTGGTAGATAGTAACGATATATTGCAGATTGACAGCAGTAGGAAACTGTGAACCACTGGACTTCGATCCAATTTCCGAAGGGTCAATGTGTTTATCTGGAAACCTGAAGACCTTGAGTTCAGTCCTTGGTGGAGAGAGATCGTGGATGCGTACTACTGAGTCCCACACTAGGACAAAACAGATGCTGAGTGCTGCCAATTTTTCAACGGTCTCCCAACTGATGTCAACCTCGAAAACAAAATCCGAAACAACCTAGAAATAAAAAAGTTACCGGAATTTCAGTTATGTTCTGAATCATTTGTGCTATAGATTTCATCCATTTGGTATTATTCTCATCTGCCAATTGATCCGAATGAAATTCAAGCAGGTGAAGATTTCGATATATCGGTAAACAAATGACAAGGAAATAGCAGAACAAGGTTATAAGTCCGCACATCGAGAAGTAAGTAAAGCAGAAAATAGGAAACTCAAGAGGATGTTTATAACCTATCCTCTGTTTGAGTAGCTAGACTTTTATTCAGTTATTAGTACACTGACACGGTCGATAATCTCATTGGTAATGAATACAACTCTCCACCTTTTAATTCAGTTCGATTTCAATTAAGATGCAAAGACCCAGTTGAGGAGTCAGTGTGATTACGATAAATGGACAGTTACTTACCACAGGCTCACACAGCGACTCGGTTGAACCTTTGACGACTTAAGTGGAATTAAGACACGATAAAAACTAGGATCTTATAGCTCAGTTAGCAAGGCAGCTGGTCAGTAACCCCTAGGAGGTGGCTGGTTTTACTCCTACCATACCCAGGTTTTCATTTCACTTTCCATCATCATAAATTAAGAATACCTCAAATAGTCATGGCTTGCACGATAAGTTAAATTTACAATTTATGTTGCCTATCATCTGGTTTTAACCTCGCCTAGTTAACTAGTTACTAGTCGGTCCTTAACCGGGATAAAGAGGGAAGGTTGGATACATAGGACTAGCAACCCTACCCCGTAAAACCAATCCAACCGCCAAAAAAAACTTCAAAGCATACACGAAATATAAAAATAAAAATCAACTTATTCCTCGCCGGAATCGGAGAAGCAAAATGACACCGGTTGGTGAAAGCCTTCGGGAAGCCAGTTGGCCGATCTATCTTCTCTACTCTCGATCAAAACGAAAGTAAGGATGGGACATGGAATGTCTGCATCATGTATGCACCTACCAAGGCTG